AATTCTCCGGCAACTAGATTGAGATAAAATTACCCTCCTGTGGCTGAATTTGCATGATATGCTGATCTTACAAAGCTGGAGGAGTTTGGTGGATTTCTAGCTCCTCCAGCCATTAGAGAACTGTTGAAAAGAAATGTCACTGGTGGTTAGGGGCTCAAAGATTCATTAAGGTGAAACTGCAGTTTTTCCCCTCAGAGGGGTTTAGAAAGCTGGAGAAGAGCTCAGATTGAACTTCATTAATGCTTTGTGTTAGGGAGACCGTGTCACAGAGGAGTAGAAACTTGGGGGTCAGGTTAAGCTGACCTTGAATCCTGGTTCTGTCACTTCCTGGCTGTCTGACCTTGAATTAGGTATTTAGTTCTCATGCTGTTATTTCATTTTGTCTAAAATGAGGATCATGACTGTGCCTTCCCTGTAGGACTGAGAGATGTGTGTGGGGGGGGGGGGCAGACAGGCAGGAGAGGCTAAGGCATGAGCTCAGAAAGCTAGGTTTCCTGTTCATATTTTCAGTCAGGTCACTGACCAGTGCCCAGAGGACGGCCACAGAGAGAGACAGATTAGTGATGGCAGTGAAGCGCATCTAGAGAGAATCTCAAATGTTTTGATTTCCCTGCTTGTCCCATGGGCTTTGTCTCAAGCTGGAAATTTCCTAAAGTGCCCTCAGTGAGGTTGGGATGGAGAGGAGTGCTCATCCCTTACTGAGGCATGCAGCAGCGAATTCCCACGGGGGAAGCGTGGCCTCGGAGATAATGTACTTATAAAAACGGGCTTTCTAGATCTTGGCCCAGAAAACCAAAGCTTACTACTCTTCTGTCCTAGTCACCAGCATTCGGGATATTCTCAAAATTTGAGCAGGCACTGATCTGCTTTTTTCATCTGAGATCATATATGTTAAGTGAAATATAGGGCCCTGATCCCTTTTGTGGGGGTACAGTTCTTTATGTTTTGACAGATACACTCAGTTGTGTGACCACCATATTCCAGTCAGAACATTTTTGACACCCCAAAACATGTTCTCCCCTAGCCCCCCCACAGCAGCATAGCCTGCTATGTCTTCATTGCTGCATTTAGGTTGAAAAGAGTCCATTGGCTGTGAATCTTGAAACGTTCTAGAAAGCACTGTCACAGTCCACATTTGCAAGTTGTGAATTTCTGCACGATCCCATCTCTAGCCTGTGAGCCTCCACCTTCCATTCATGTATTTTTTGGGCGGAGATTCGTCGCTCCTCCCTGGTGCCACCTGTGAGTATGTGTCCTGACAGAACGCAAAAGTTCTAATGCTGGTTCTCAGCTCTCAGGAGCCATGATTGGGTTGAAGAGATATGGTATATACAGCTAAAAAGTTAGGTGAAAATTTACAGAATTAACAAGAAATATGAAACAGAAAGTCAAGGAATGCCACAAGGTCCTGTCATGGTGTAGTTTGGGCTGAGTTCCAAGGACAGAGAGTGAGAGGTGTGCAGAGCAGACACAGGTCTGTAGGTGCTGGAGTGATCAAGAAGGCTCCAGAAAATGGGCATTCTGGATAACTCCTGCCGCAGTCTGGCTGGGCTCAAATCACGAGCCACTGAAGCAGGAACAAACTTTATTTCTGAACTCCACCAGTACACTCCACACACGCTCCCCGGGAACTCTCCCAAACGCCACCCACACCGCTCCTCCAGGAACTACCAACCGGAAATCCCTCCTCTGGCACTTCCCCAACCAATGTGAACTCTCCAGGAATCCCGAGAGAACTCCGAAGTAGCAGGCTGAGGCGAACAGTAAAGGTCTAATATACAATTGAATCAATCCAGCATCATCTTAATGGCTCACCTCTCAACCAATACTATTGGCAAAATGCCAGGGGCCAACAAACTCCCATTGCTCTACCTCCCATTCTCACTGAATTCCTTGAACTGGAAAGAAATACTTCAGCTCCTCAGGTTTCATCGTGTGTTCTCCCTCTTGCCTTCCCCTCCTTCTACATATTCACTGCTGTAAGCTTTAGCTCACTCGGTGCTGCCCAATCGCTTACTAGACTCCTTAGCAACCCTCTTGTCGCTGGGGCTCTCTTGCCGCCCCTCCTGGATAACAAGGACCTTGGATAACAAGGTACTGGATAACAAGGACCTTGCAAGCAGGTGCTCCATGAGACCTTTGTTGCCTTGGTGCGCTCGACTTTGCATGGTGCCCTCCCTCTTCAAACACACACACACACACACACACACACAGTGCTTGCTTGGTTTCTGTGTCCACCCACCAAGTGCCTCTTAGGACACGGGACTGGATAGGACTTTGTTTTCCTTTCCTGCCACTATATTGACTAGGGAGAAATGGCAAAGGAAACCTTGGGAGGGGTCCTTGTGGGCACTCAGTCGGAGCCTGGTGACCTGCATAATCCATGCCCTCACACTCAAATGAGATAGTCTGAAGGGTGTAAGCAGAATTTGGGAGTCTGCTTGCCATAAATAGCCTGTTCTCCTCTTCTTTAATTATATCCCTGCCAGGAAAACCTAACAGAATCCCATTTCCCTTCCATTCTGTTTGCTGTGGCTTTGTGAACTCCTATCACATCCCCAGCCCCTTTCCCAGCCTCTTCGGTGCCTTCTTTTCTTTGTTACAAAACCTAGGAATTCCCACTGTACTCTGAAACCTTCCCTGAGTAGAAATCAGATAAGGTTCTCATCACCCCCAAAGTAATTACAACAGGGACTTAAAACAACTTTGCGCCAATAAGAAACTTTGAGTGACTGAAACAAGAGCCAGTTCCCAATTCCAGGAGACGGCAATGGGGCTCCTTCCTGCCTAACCTGAATGTTGTATAGTTGCAGAAGTGGGAAGAAAAGGACAGGAACAAAGGGCACTGCATAGAATCCAAGCTGTGTGAGTTTGAACAGGACACTCTCCCTCTCTATGTTGGAGTGTTTTCATGTTTAACAGGATAATGATGGTTTCCCTGTCATTCTCATGGGTTTAAATGTTAAAAGAACTTACACACATTGTTAGTATAACATCGATTATGGTGGCGAATGCTTTTGAGGACCTTGGGAAAATATTGCTCTATCTCCCAATTACTATGCTATTATCTTCTCCTTTATTAATTGGAGCCAATTTTCAGGGACATTTCATCTAATCAACTGCCAACAGGAGTATAAGGTCAATTCTCTGTAAAATTAGGACAGGGCATTTGGGACATTTAAATTAAAAACACAATAGAATATCATTACTTACCTATCAGAATGGCTAAAATAAAAAATAATGACAATGCTAAATGCTGGTAAGGACACAGAGATATTAGATGACTCAGTCATTGCTGGTGAGAATATAAATGTACAGCCACTCTGGGAAACAGTTTGGCCGTTTCTTGTAAAACTCAACATGCAATTCCCATATGAGCTGGCAGTTGCACTCTTGGGCATTTATCCCAGAGAAATGGAAACTTATGTTCCTGCAGAACTTGAACACCAACGTTCATAGCACCCTTATTTGTAATCGCTAAAGACTGGTATCAACCCAGACATCCTTCAGTGGGTCAATAGTTAAAACAGATGAAGTACACCATACCATGGAATACCACTCGGCCAATAAAGAAGAACCAACTATTGACATACATAAGACCTTGGGTGACTCTCCAGGGAATTATGCTGGTGAAAATTATGCTAGTGAAAAATGCCAATCCCAAAGGATTACTGTATGAGTCCATTTATGTAACATCCTTGAAATAACAAAAAATATAGAAATGGAACAGATGAATGGTTGCCAGGGGCTAGGGAGAAGACAGTGGACAGGGAAGTCCTGAAGGAAAGTGGGTATGGTAACATGAGAAATACTTTCACGGAACTTGTTAGTATTTTGACTGTAGTAGTAGGTATTTGAAACTACCTATGTGTTAAAAATTGTATAGAACTAAGTATACACACATGCACACGCACACACAGGAGCACAAGTAAAATTGAGGAGATCCCAACAAGATGGTGGACTTTCACCAATGTCAGTATCTGATTGTGATATCAAATTCTAGTTTTTATAAGATGGTACCATTGGAGGAAATAGACTAAAGGGCACACACGATCTCTCTGTATTTTTTCTTTCTTTCTTTCTTTAAACTTAAAAAAAATTTTTTTGTTGTTGTAGATGGACAGCATGCCTTTATTTTATTTATTTTTATGTGGTGCTGAGGATCAAACCCAGTGCCTCACACGTGCTAGGCAAGTGCTCTGCCACTGAGCTACAGCTCCTTACCCTCTCTGTATTATTTCTTACAACTAATGTTAGTTTTTAATTGTTTCAAAATTTAAAATTTAATAAAAAAATATTGAGGCAGTTTCAAAGCTAGCGATGGTCAGAATTCATCTTAGCATTCTGTTTTGGAGATGCAATTAATATTTGTTAGAATTGGAGAGCCAACTTTTAACATTGTTTTGGTATTTTGGCCAATTGGTCATTTTCAGAGAAGGAAGAAGCTGAGAGTATGAATAGAGCCCCCTCTCCCATACCATAACTTTAAAATAACACAGTGGGGTGGATTTTCATGGTTTTTTCTTCTCATTGAGGTTTGATAACATCTCTCTGGACCAAAGTTCTTAGAAAGTAAGTACAGGATATTCCTTGAGCAAAAGCAGAGAGCAGGAATAGGTCAAGTTCAAAGCGCTGTTACATCTGGCCTGGGGTTAGGTCTGGATCCAGACTGACTGGATTGAGTTTGAAACTCTTGATGATCTAGGTGGGACACCACCACCTTGCATTGGGAGCCAGGTGACGGTAGGAGGCTTCTCTAATAATATTAACCCAGCTCTCAGGTCTCTTCTCCAGCTTCATGGCAGGCGACATGTGGTGACCAGGAATCTGACTCCTGGCTGCCAAGCTGTCTCTGTGGGGGAAGATTTTCTTTCTTGAGAGTGTGTGTTAGAATTGTGAGGGCAGGAGACAGTGGTGCATGATGGTTCTCTTTCCTTTGAAGTTGTAGGACAGTCCCATCTGGACAGCACCATCGAGGATCAAGAGATTGTTACTAATCCGCCAGACATTTGCCAAGTTGTGGAGGTGACCACCGAGAGTGATGAGCAGCCAGTCAGCATGAGTGAGCTGTACCCTCTGCAGATTTCCCCCGTGTCTTCCTACGCAGGTGAGTGGGCAGGAGGGAAAACTGGGGACTGAAGGGGGAAGAGGAAAGAGCCATCCTTTAGTCTAGCTCCACCCCATCTCACCACTCAACAGAGCATCTCCCCTCTGTCCTAGGAATTCTTCTTGTTGGAGTTATTTTATTTTCTTGACCAGCATCATCTTGGACACTTTTTTGTTTTCAGCTAGATAACATTTTCACAGCATTCTCTGCATGATTGCCCATGACATGTTCATCCAGGACTAACAAATAAGATTTCTTGGGGGAAGGTGGTTCATCAAAGTTAAATTTTTTGACAGGGTGTTTTAATGGAATCTCAAATTGATTAAGCTAGAATGGGACCTTAGAAATCATCTTTTCCAATTCCTTTATTTTCAGATGCTAAGGGCCCCACACAGCCATTAAATGTATGGGCCAGGATTTCAAGTCAGCTTTCAGACCTCAAAGTCATTGTTAAAGCCATTCCATTCCACCAGGTTTATCAGTCACTTCCATTGGTTTCTCCCTTTTTTTCCTATCTATTTCAGCTTCCAACAGGGCCAAACAACGGAACCCATTTCTAATTCCCCACAGAACTGGTCCCATAATTTCAGGAATCTGTCCAGACAGAGTCAGAGGATTAGAAACAGTTTCAGAAAAATGATGGCTCCTTTACCAACATGACTTCATCTTGTATTTTCCTAATGATCTCCATTTAATTTTTTGGAACTCAATTATAATTAGGAAATTTAAATTCTGAGCAGTGTTATTGCTTGCATATATTAAAAATAAAAAGCAGAGGCCCTCTCCTGGGAAACTACAGTTAGCTCTAGGAAATGGTTGGGGATTCTTCCTGGTGTTCTTTGCAGACTGCCAGGGAGAGTGTCTTCCAGCTAGGGTGCCACCCCAGTGACTGGCACAGAAACAGCATGACAATTGAGAGTGGATTCAAATGCCTGGTTGTTTGTATATTAACAGACACTAAATTAACCTCATCTTCCATGAGTGCCTACTTTCTTTTTTAAATTGTGGTAAAATACATATAGCACAAATTTGCTGTTTTTCCATGTATAACTCAGTGGCATTAAGTGCATTCATGGTACTGGGCAACCCCCAACCACCACTGTCTCCAGAACTCTTTTCATCTTGTAGAACTGAAACTCTGTACCCATTATACACTCCCCCTCCACCCACCCCTGGCAACCACCAATCTACTTTCTGTCTCTATGAATTCGGCTACTCTAGGTAGCTCTTATGAGTGGAATCATGTAGTATTTGACCTTTGGCAATTGGCTTATTTCACTTAGCCTGTGTCCTAAATTGCTTTTGTGTTAGGAACATAAAAGCAATGTGGGAACAAACCTTGGCTAAAGGAATAATCTGTCAAATGTGGTAAGCTTTTCATCAGTTGTTCATTCATCAGACCTATTTTGAACTCTTCTATGTGCCAGGCCGGATTTGGTCTTAGCCAGTTTCCAATAACTGTATTATTTGTTGCATGTCTATTGTGCCATGGGAATATGCTAGATGCTTGGTGTTGACTGACGTGCTTAATTATCAAGAAATTAACCCTGTTAGCTGGAATACCATCATTATTCTCTCTTTAAAAAGGAGGAATCTAGGGCTAGGATGTAGCTCACTAGCAAAGCGTCTGCCTTGCATTAGCAAAGCCCTAGGTTTGAAGAACAAAAGAAAGAACCCCACCAAAATAATAATAACAACAACAATAAGATTTTTTTTTAAATGAGGAATCTAAGCCTAAGCAGGTTAAGCAGTCTGTCCAGGGATGAAAAACTGGTGGCACAGACAGCATCTGTGTGTAGCTGATGCCAATGGCCTGGGCTTGACCCCTCACACTGCAGTGCTGCCCTGGACACATCCACTTCCTCTGAGCTCCCTTGATACTTACAGGAAGCCACTGTAGGAGGTGGAGACGAGTGTTTAGGTCTTAACCATGGAGTAGAGGTACCTGAAATGTGAAGGACTAAGACATTTTGCTCATATTTTTATAACTATGGCTAAAAATCCCATGGCTTTCTTCTATGTCATGTTGCTGCTGGCATTGTTACCATGTGGATGAGTGGGTTTTTTTTTTTTTTTTTTTTTTTTTTGGCAGGTGGAAGGGTATTTGAGCTTGAGAGTTGACTTTCATGTTTACCTGTGGAGCAGGTCTTCTCTGAAGTCTTCCTTGGGGATTCTGGAAAGATCTCTCCTTGCAGGGGTTCCAGCAGTGGCATTTTGCTTTAGCAGGAGAATCCCAAGAACAGCTAGCTGATCCCTGCAGAGAGAAATGAAAATTTCATTACCCTTTTCAGGATATTTGCATAGATTTCAAAACAAGGATTCCAGTACCAGGATGACCGGCAGCGGGAGGTTTTGTTGGAGCCTGGCTTTTCAGACTGGCCTCTGGATCTTTCCATTGTTTTCATTGTCTGAATTCTCCAGAATCTTTGAGAGGGAAGTTTATTAGATGGAGCCAAAATGTTCCATTGCTGCTGCTTTTCTAGAGCTTACAGACATTCATCAGTTACTGACCATGGCTAGTAGAGGTCTTTTAGTCTTATGTTCCTCAGTAGAATGGGCTGTTTGCCTGTTTTTCATGACAGAATTCCTTTGTTCAGGCTATCCAAACCCAACTCAACCTCCTAACCACTTGCATTCATTTACCTGTTAAGGAAATTGCTAGTTGGAGGTCACTTGCTATATTTTCCCCCTACTGGTCATGAAATATAATCCAGTAGTATTACAAAACCACATTCAGTTTTGCAGATCTGCCTTCTCAGTCTAAAATATCACAGTGAGAAAGAGAAGAGACAGAATGCAGTTACATACTCAGAGAAGTACTTGCATTGGATGTTTTAAGACAACATAAAATTCTAGTTTGATTTGTAATATTTTCATACTGGGAAGGAATGTTCCAAAGCCCAACCTAGGGAAACTCAGGGATAGTCATTTTGTTTGTTTGTGGTGCTAGGAATTGAGCCCAGGGCCTCATGCATGCTAGACAAATGCTTTAAGCCACATCTCTTGCCCTCCTTTTTGTTTTAATTTTTTTTCTTTTTCTTTTAAACTTCATGTCTACCATGAAGTTCCTCTTGCCTGATCTGTGACACCAGGATTAGATTAGGTTATTGATGGCTTTGTAAAAGAGTACCACAGTAGAATTTGGGGGGTGGTGTGTGTGTGTGGGGGTGGTGGAGAATAGCCTTGAAAAGGAAGCAATATACAAAGAATTAACTGGTTGTAATCCAGAGAATAGAGATTATACTGACCAATAACCATCAGCGAGGACTTTGGGTCCTTAAGGAAACCACATCAGGCTTTCAAGCTGTTGGTGGAACAGAGATCCATTAGCTTTGACACTAAGGGGATTCTAATTTGAACCATCCAGCTGAGTCTTCTAGTGAAAGTAATTGAGGAAATGATTGATGGAAAGAAATCTTTGTCAGTTTTATTTTGTTGAACAAGAGCCTTGCAGAAAATGTGCTAGGTATCATATAGTGCAAAAACGCATTACATAATCATTCTTCTCTCCATAATGTTCCTGAAATGGCTTAGCAATGTATATTCTCAGGGAGGTGTTAAAAACTGGGCTGTGGCTCAGTGGTAGAGCGCTTGCCTAGCATGTGTGAGGCACTGGATTCAATCCTCAGCACCACATACAAATAAATAAAGATAAAAAATATATATATAACATTATTAAAAAATATATTTTTTTTAAAAAATGGGCTAAAGGAGAATGTGAACCCAGACAGTACATCCTAGAACTGATGCTCTGGAAGAATCTTTGAAGTCATCTGATCTATACTGCTTCCTGACCTTTCACTTTAGCTGCTTTCAGGGATATAAACCAGAAAGTTAAGTGAATTACTCACATACATATTAACTATTGTGTCAGCACTTCCTGCTTATTCGGATTATGCTTATAAAGCAACTCTAATTGTTTTTATTCTGTTGTTTTTGAAATTAGTTTTTACAAGATCCAGACTAATCAAAAGGCAAAATGAAGTAATGCGTGTTGGTATTTCAGAGTGACATGAATCTGGAAGCAGCAGCAGCCGCAGTGAACTCATTTATCATGTAAGAAGTCACCGTGGAAACGACAGTGGCAGAGTAGAACCGATAGACAGAGGAAGTGAGCACTTTGAGCAGCCATTTGGGAGTAGCCCTGAGAACCACTGTTGGTCTGGAGAGAAGACTCTGGGGTCCTTAGGTGGGAACCTCAGGTGTCTCCATCAAGGCCACTTTTTTCAAACAATAAAAGCTGGAGACATCAGTGTGGTAGTCAGCCTTTTTTCACTGACAAAATACCTGAGAGAAACAACTGAAGGGCTGGATGTATAGCTCAGTGGTAGAGCGTGGGAGAAGAGGAGCTGGGGAGTGCCCCCAGTGACCTCACTTCCTTCTGCGAAGGCCCCCTGTCCTACAGGTTCCACTAGCTCCCAATACTGCCGTTGTCTGGGGTCCACGTCTTCAACACGTGATCCTTTAAAGACATTTAAGATCCAAACCACAACACTTAGTTTCTAATTTAGAATCTTCATAACTACTTCAGAAGCAGTCCGTCTTCATTTAGAAATGAAGGTCTTCAACCAGCTTCTCTGTTCGTTGAAACCAAAAGTCCAGAACATGAGAAATAAACATCAGTGTGTTCATTTTCTCATCCACAGCTTTCCCCCTGAAGTTGAAAACTGGGTATTTAGTGAAAATGGACATTCTGATCATATTCATGGTCCGTGCAAGGAGACCAAAGAGTCTTTTTTTTTTTTTTTTTTGCTACCAGAACATGAACCTAGAATCACTTTGCCATTGAGCTACATCCCCAGCCCTTTTTAAATTTTTTTTTTTTTTTTTTTTTTTTGAGACAGGGTCTCATTAAGTTGCATAGGGCCTTACCAAGTTGCTGAAGACGGCATTGAACTTGCAATCCTCCTGCCTCAGCCCCCCAAGCCTCTGGAATTACAGGGATGTACCCCAGCACCTGGCTTACCAAGGACACTTAACCCAGGATCTGATTTCCAAACCCTCCAGTAACTGCAGCTTGGGCTTGATAGAGTCCCAGAACCTTGGTGTCAATTGCTCATTTTCCTGAGGCTCCAGCCCCCAAAGTATGCCGGGTGGCATTTGTTTACATTTTTATTTGAAGGGAAAGGAACGGAAGATCATGGTATTTATGGAGGGTCATTAAGAATGAAGGGGGCTTGGCATGCTTGGAAGGAAGGGAAACTTGAGCTTCAGAGCACAAACAAAGCTAAGCATAAAAATGGAAAGGGGATCTTGAACTTTCGCCAGAGCCAGAGCCAATAGGGAAGCAGAGTTGCTGTGTTTGATGGGTGTCCCTGGAATCAGAAGTGCAGTTTTGTTTTCTGTCCTCTGTGCTGACTCAGTCTGTGACTTTGGCAAGTTTCTCAACATCTCTGTTCCTCCTTTTCCTTCTTGGGAGCGGCAGCCCAGCCTCTTGCCTCCTCTGGAGACTGGGCTTGTGTGGGGTTATGTTTGGAGGGAGGTTTCCTTTTCTATTGCTCTTCATTTGCTTCTGTCTGGAATATTTCATGTGCTTCTTGTTGTCCTTTGGTCTTCGGAGCTGGGATCATTGTCAGCTAAGCCTCGACCCTTCTTTTGGCATCTGATGCTCCAGCTGTGCTTTGTGGAAATATGCTCCATTCACGCAGTGCAGACGCCTGTCCTTTGGCTGCTCATGTCTCAGCCCTAGCTATGACCCAGGCCTTTGCAGAGCTCCTGGAGAACAATGGCTGAGAACATGCTGAATGCGCCCTGTGGGATCTGTGGGGTCCACAGGCTTGCTGTTGGGCCAAGGAATGCAACTGTGGCATGAGTTGTCTGTTCTTTAGCCTTTAATGATGTATAGGGAGTCTGATCTGTAGCTCATGCTCTGGGTGGTGGAAAGGACTCAAGTCTGGGCTGCAGCCATCTTGTCCCACAAGGAAGATGTGAGATTGGAAGCCAGTTCCTCATCAGGGATACGGTAGAAGAGTGTGGAAGGCTCTAGAACACACTAGCATTTCTACATGTAGAGGGACGATAGTAACCTGCTGTCCAACTTGGAATCCTTGTAAGGTCTAAACAAAGCCTACATGCAAAGGCTGTGGCCCCGCCTGGCCCTAGCACTCCACAAATATCCATTATTACAGTTTCTCTTCAGGCCTCCACTAAAATATAAATGTCCCAAATGGAAAGATTCCTAAGAGCCTATGGTTTGGAAGTTCCAGCTTCAGTGCATTCATTTTGACTCTGTTCAACAGGCCTATCACGCAAATTTGCTGTTGAATAACTCCAGTTCCTTGTCTGTGCTGTGCAAGGTCCAATGGTAGGCCTTTCCTTAACACCTTCTCACTCACTCATCACATAGTCCTCCTTGGAAGGTGGAAGGGAAGGACACCCTGTATTTTTTCAGATGAGAAAAATATATGTAGCTCCCAGGAATTAAGAAATTGGCTCCGTGTCTCACAACTGGCAAGTGGAATCAGGATAGTAACTGGTTAGTTATCTGTTGCTTCATGACAGTGTGACCACAGACTTAATGGCTTAACACAATACACAGTTCTTATCCCACAGTTTCTGTGGATCATGAATCCAGGTGTGGCTCAGGTGGGTGCTCTGCAGCAGAATCTCACTGACCTGCCGTCAGGGTGTTGGCTGGGGCTGCTGTCTCATCTGAGGTTCAGCTGGGAAGAGGTTCAGTTCCAAGCTCAGGTGGTTTTTGACAGAGTTTAGTTCCTCACCGGTTGTTGAACCAGACTTGGCCCTTGGTCCTTTTCCTTGTGAGCTTCCCCAATGGGACCAGCAAGCAGGAGTCTTCTCAAAAGGACAGGTTCCGTCTTATGTGACATGGTCATGGAGATGTAAAACCTGGATCCTTTGCTGTATTCCGTTGGTTAAAAGCAAGTCACAGGTCCCACCCACACTCAAGAGGAGGAGGTTCCAAAAAATTGAATACCAGATGACGATCTGAGGCCACCTGAAAATCTGTCACCCAGGTGGAAGAGGCAACTCTTAAGAATCTAAGATAGTGACTAACCAGATGTGGGGTAAAGGCGGGTCTGAGTAGAATGGGAATGATGTAGGAAGACTTCTTGGAAAATGTTCACTCTGAGTTGGGACTTCCCCATGATGACTGACATGGACTGGAAGAGGACCAGCATGGGGCTTCATGGCCAGAGCTATAGGGAGAAAAGGGCGTCACAGGGACAGCACCCCATGCTGGCTGGCTCTTGGAAAGTGTGCCTCCCCTTCATTCTCCATCTGCTTTCTCTTGGGGGCCCAAGTCATTCAAACTTACTCCAGCTTGTCCACATAGAAGTGTTTGATCTTATAAAGGGGGGAGTTGATGAATTTGGTTACCCATTTCTCTTTTGGAAAAGAAGTGCTGATATATCTTTTATCAACACTGCCTGAGCTTCAAAACAGCTTGAGCAACAGGAACAAATAATGGTCCTATGTTTTTCTCTCTTTGAACAGAAAGCGAAACTACCGATAGCGTGCCCAGCGATGAGGAGAGCGCTGAGGTAAGCCTGCTTCCTGCTCCGACCCACGTGCCTGTGCTTGTGATCATGTTTTACTTTTGGATGTTTTTGTGTGTCTGTTAAAATATGCATAGCCTAAAATTCACCACCCTTCTAGATTTCAAATTATAAAATTGTTGGGCACCAAATGGGAGGAAAAGGGATAAAATGTCATCCTCAGAAAGAGAGGCTATGACAGCAGGAAAAGGAAACTGAAATTGAGGCCAGGAAATGTTGATATTCTTATCACTGTCAACATCCTAATTCACCAGCAGAAATAGAATGTCCTGCCCGGCCAAAAGCAATGACCAGAAATACAAGCCAGGAAGAGCTTAGCAAGGTTACCTCCACATATCCATGGGTTCCCTCCCTCCGTGATCCTGCGCAGAGGCGAGCGATGTCCAATCTTGATTCCCAGTCTGACTGCTTCTGACTTTCCTCCTATAGCTGGGCCCACACAATGGCAGGAAATGGCTGTAAATGATGATGGAAAGAGAAAAGGGGGTGACAGGAAGAAAGCAGAGAGTGAGGGAGAGGAAGAGAGAAGCTAATGGTGTGTTGAATTAATGATTTCACAATTAATGATTTCAATACATTATAATAAAGTGTGGGAATTCTGAGAAGACAGTGGCTACATTCACATATATTCCTGACTTGCTTCTTCAAGGTCAGAAAATTACCTTTTACTCTGAATGAAGCCATCCTCTGTACAGGGCCCCTGTTTGTTGAACACCCTGCATCTCTAAGCTGGCACATTTGAAAACAATCAAAGGCACTTGCTATCTATTCGCAAGTTCCTCATTTCCCTTCCTCTGAAAAATGCAAGTTGACTCAAAGATCTAATTGGGCCAACAGTGAGGACTAAGTTGCCCTGACCGACTGTCCATCATGGCCGGAAGCATATTGAATGGTCTGTGTGGGTGCCTAGAGCATAGAGGAGTCGAAAAGCAAGCTTCCCCTTTCTTTTCCTGCCTTCATAGAATATCCTTAGCCATATTTCTTGGAGTTAGCAAGTGGGAACTGATAAAAAGAGAACAGAAACCATTGCTTGGGGTATGAAGAACTGGGTATAGATTTCAGTTGAAGGATGTACAGTTGCTAAGCTTTTGTTCATTGCATTAACTTAAAAAAATGTGGTTCTAACACCCACACATGAGAACTGGAGATTGAACCCAGCCTTGCACATGCTGGGCAAGCACTGTACTGCAGGCCTTTTGTGAATTTTTTTTTTTTGAGGCAGGGTCTCCCTAAGTTGCCCAGGCTGGCCTGGAATTTGTGATCCTCCTGCTGCAGTCTCCTAAATTACTGGGATTACAGGTTGTGCCCACCCTTGGTGGCACATTTTTAAAAAGGCATTCAGAGGAAGGAAAAGAACATACATATCTGGATTATTTTCTTTGAAAGGGGAGACCACACTGGCGGAAGAGGAACATTGAAGGTAAACAGTACCTCAGCAACATGGGGACACGGAGCACCTATCTGCTGCCCAGCATGGCGACCTTCGTCACTTCCAACAAGCCAGATCTCCAGGTCACCATCAAGGAGGAGAGCTGTCCGGTGCCTTACAACAGCTCTTGGCCCACGTTTCCTGACCTCCCCCTCACTCCCTCCGTGACCCCTGCATCCAGCAGCAGTCGGGACCGAGAGACTCGGGCCAGTGTCATCAAGAAGACGTCAGACATCGCCCAGGCCCGTGTCAAGAGCTGCTAAGCCCTTGAGTCTCCCCGGTGGTTGTTGGGATTTCTTGGCTTTGTGTTGTTGTTTGTTTGTGTTTTATTTTTCTCTCTGACACCTATTTTAGACAAATCTAAGGGAAAAAGCCTTGACAATAGAACATTGATTGCTGTGTTCAACTCCAGCCCTGGAGCTTCTTTTTAACTCAGGACTCCAGCCCCTTGGTAGACGCGTGTCTCTAGAGCCTGCTGGATCTCCCAGGGCGACTCCCTCAAGTTCAAGGACCAACAGCCACACGGGCAGTGGAGGTGCTGCGTTGCCTATGGTCAAGGCCAGCGTGGAGGAGTGGATGCTTCAGAATGGACGAGAAAATGTGAACTAGCTGGAATTTTTTAATCTTTGTGAATATGTACATAGGGCAGTACTAGCGACGCTGCAGTCTGCTTCTGCACCTTATCTTAAAGCACTTATGATAGGCCTTCTTATGATCTTGCTCTATTCCACAGCACATTCATCGTCCCCTTCTCTGCCTTTTACCCTCCACCCATCCCTTCCCATCCCCTCCCACACGGTTCCTTTCCTCCTTTTCCTCCCCTCAGAGGCTGTGATCCACATCCTGGAGGAGGAGGAGGAGGAGAAAATGAACCTCTCCACAGATGTCCCATTTTTAAGACTGCTTGGAGGAAAAAAAAAATCTTTCTAATCTGCTATGCTTGAATGCCACGCGGTACAAAGGAAAACTATCATGGAAATATTATGCAAATTCCCAGATTTGAAGACGAAAATACTCTAATTCTAACCAGAGCAAGCTTTTTTATTTTTTATACAGGGGAATATTTTATTCAAGGTAAAATTCTAAATAAAATATAATTGTTTTTTATCTTTTCTACAGCAAATTTATAATTTTAAGATTCCTTTTCTTGTTTATCAGCAGTTGTTATTACATCCTTGTGGCACTTTTTTTTTTTTTAATTTTGTAAAGGTGAAAAAAAGCTTTTATGAGCTCATGTAGCAATCAGATTATCCTGTGGATTGATAATAAATGAATATGATATATAGTTAAATTTTTAACGGGCATCACTCCTGGCTTTGTCTGTGTCTGCTTAGAGCACAATCCTGGGACAGGGCCAACAAAATGTTTCTTCTTTGGGGCCAAAACTTTTCCCCTTGTTAACCACAAGAGACCCTGGAAGTTCCTACTGTGAAGCTAAAATTGGCTTCCTCAGCTGAATGCCTACCCTGTACTGGGCCCTGTGCTGATTGTCTTACGTGAGTTACCTTCTTGCTCATCCTAGTTGTGCTCAGAATAGGGGTTTATCTCCATTGCCTGTGGAGGAGATGGGAGACATGAAATAAAATGCTTTTCTGTCGGTCACCTGGGCAAGAAGGGGTCATGGGCATGGGAGGACCCCAAGTCTGGAATGACTGTGGAGGGAGCCTGTTAATCCACTCCACTGTTCTCTACTGTGAGCAGATTCTAGCCACCTAGGTTTTTCCTTTTCTCACCCACAGTATCATATTCATGATCAAAGTTTTGTGTTTGTCACACACTGGGTGCACGGATAGAAAGTTTTCAATAGTGGGGTATGCTCCGTGTTAGTCACTCTTCTTTCTAAGACCAGGAAGTTGGATGCAGGCCCTGCCCTCAAAACTTAAGGTTGGTCCTCCGGAGAGAGCAGTGTGACTTCAAGGACACCAGTCCCCATCACCTGTTTGGTATTTCTAGGTGTAGGCCTGACCTTGAGAAAGCCACCACCCTAACCTCTCATGCTTCCTTAGAACACGAAAACTTACTTGCCTACCCTACCACCTCTGGGAGGTTGTAAGGAGATTGCCGAGTTAATATTTGAAAATTTCCTTAGATTTGTAAAAGGACAAAGGGCTATTTTTATGTCTATCTCTCTATGTGGCTGCAGATATAATTAGCAGTCGTAAAATTATCCACCCTGAACAGAAATCAACTGAAGTCTGTTGCTGGTTGGTGTGCTGCAGGAAGAGGGCGGCACATGGGTGGCTGACTGCTTCTGGGAGGAGCACCTTCATGGAAGGTGTTTATGTCAATTTCTTAGTGAAAGGAGGAGTCATAAGTCCTAAGTAAATGAGTTCTGTTCTTTATATCAAAATCCTGTTGTTTAGTCCTCCTGTTTTTAAGTGAATTTAAAAGAAGGCAGTAACAGAAGCTGTCCCTGCAGAGGGTTTAGGGCAGCTCTGGTTCTCTGCCCCCTTCCCTCTTCCTGCTCCAGAAAGAGCATCCAGCTCACATCCTACCTCGGTCAGCAGCTCTGCAGGCCCCAGGCCGTTGCCTTCCTCTTCTGTGGCGGTCACCACGCTGGCTGAACCTCACCAGGTGGACAAAAAAGCAGGATTCAGAGACATCGATTTAAGTGCTAAAGATGAGGCCGGGGAAAAATAGAATCATGCTTAAAATATTTCTGAGAAGCTCTACTGTTTCTGAGTAATACTTGCCAGTAGTATAGGAGAAGAAGCCAGTTATCCAATGCTTAGGTAGACACAAGGACGGAAACCAGGTGAGTTGGGACATCTTGGGGACTCAAGCCCAGACCCTGTTGTTGTTATTTAGAGGAAGTTCAAGAGACAGGCGCTTCATTTGCTTTGCATCTGCGTGAGCTGATACGGTTTTATGATGGGTCTGGCTGTGTATGCGTACGTGTGTGTGCTTAAGTAGCAATTTCAGTGTAACCACCCCTAGAACAGTATTTTCCGTTTTCTGCAGCCAGTACTTGGGTCCCTCCCTTGATAGCAAAGCTCGTTGCACAACTATGGACTATAAATCCAGTCACAGGTACTTCCTGCCCAGCCTTAAATTGGGAGAAGCCAGTGCACCAAACACACCTTGGTGAAAAGGCTTCCAGGAGGCTGTTTGAAAGTCTTAAATAAATCCATACCCATCTGTAGCATTTTTTCCATGTTTAAATGAAGCAACCGCCAAAGACCGTGTTTAATCTATTGAAATGAATTTACAGAGAAGAAGAAATATATGAGCATAGGAAATACAAATTCAATGGACATATTCTTTATTCCCCCCAAATGCAAAGTGTAGTACACTATTGTGTAACCACTACAGAGACAGAAATTTTAAAAATGAGGAACATCAGTGATTTGGTTTCAGGATTCTGTGTTTCGGAGAAACTGTGTTTTGGGGTGGTATTTTGCATATGAATGAAAAATAATGTTAAGTCCCAAGCAGCCCCCCGCCCTGAGTGTGTGAGATAGAACACACTTCTTCCTGGTCATTCTTGGAGCATCAAATTCATTCGGCTTTAGGAGTCCCCTGTTATTCTAGCTTTGAACAAACAGACCCAGAGAAAAGGTGAAAATAAGGATCCCACTTCTCTGCCAAATTTCTCTAAAGAAAGACAAAAAGTTAGGAAAAATTTAACAAAGATGGGTTAGATAGCCAAGATGAGTTCCTGGCATGTAGGGGTCAGATATCAAGACTCAATACTAGTTTGGGCTTGGAAAGAGAATGCAGGCAGAAACTGGCTTAGCTGATGAGGTTTAGCCACAGATCTCATCCTGAAACTCCATCCTATGGCAAACCCATGGCCAGGATGATCGGAGCCAGGGACAGGAACCTGAATGCCAGGGGATCTGGAGTAGCTCCTGCTTTCTGTCCCAGGCTGCAGTAGACTTCCCCTAAAGGTATGAGGGTGGATGCCCATCTCCCCTGGGGCTGTAAGCTTCTTGAGGTAGTGGGGTCTCGATCACGTATTCACATCCCAACAAGTGGAACAAGGTCAGGTATCTGGTAGGCAATTGCTCACATGAGCTTCTCTTCCCCTTTGCCCCATCATTCCCAGTGTCAAGACAATAGGGCTGTGTTCCTCAGCTGTGCTCCTTAGCAATGAGGCCAGCCACAGACCTGAAGCAGGGAGCTCTGGCTGTGCAAAGCTGCAAGTCAAAAGATACATACAGGAAGATGGTAGGTGAGATGCTCCCCCGTGAAGCTGCCTGGCCTCTGAGCCCCTGGCCAACTCCACAGGTATTATCCCTTGCCTGGACTTGGGCACTGCTGACCCTGCTGGGAGAACAAATGAAGGTTTCGTGGAGGTTTTCTTTTGTAGTTACACTAACAACAGGTGCAGAGGCACTGTTTCTCTGCTTCTGAAAATAGCCCTGGAAGGAAGGAAGTGGTCAGGCCCAATAGCCGGTTTTAACAAAAATGTTAAATCTGTCCAAGAACCTGGGTCAGGCTATGGAAAGATCAAGACGTAGAACATTTATTTCAGAGTTCACAAAGTCTGGCAAGAGCGTGTTCTTCAATCCTTTGACCAAGTTTTTTCAGATGAGAAGAAGTATGTGTGCTTCGTCCCTCTAAGCAAGCTGCCCTTTGGAGGTTTGGTCAGTTTCTCCGTATCTGCTTTATACACATGTTCAGACAGAGACTGCTAGCTCTGCAGAAAGTATTGTGTTGGGATTGTGCAACTGCTGCTCATTTAACCACTTACATTCACTGCTGGAGAAACAGAACTGTCACATGTAACTGCTTATACCATGAAAATGGCCCATTTAGTTACACAATTGTTTTTGCAGGTGCAAAAAAACAAGGCAATAATAGCACATGTAAGTTTCAGTTTTGGTTCAAACGAACATTTTAAAATCTAAATACCCATCCACATGAGTCACCAGAGAAAGAGAATACCTAAGATGTTACATCTGCCAGAAGCTTGAGTCTTACTGAGAATGCTCTTATTTTCCAAATTCTCTGTAATGTACCAGTTCAGTGTCCTTGACATTTCAAATCCACATGATTACACTGCAACACATTGCCTAAAGTTTTAGGATAAGATAGCAGCTAGACGGGAATGATTTTTTTTTATGATTAGTGATAAAAAAAAAAGTCTTTATTCACTCCTAGAATTAACATTCCTAAATATTCCACAGTACTTCTCCAATGCTATGAACCTTTACAGCATCTTTTCTGTGGGAAGGCCAGGTATGGCTTTTTAATGTGACTATGAAGTACAGAAGAGATTTCATAGGCTTGGCTGTAAAATACTCAGCATATAGCCAAATGAGAGTTGTAGTGGGAAAAAAAAATGCAAAATGCAGCCTAAGCCATTGCTCAAATTTTAAAAACCTAGTGGTTTCAGGATCATAGGCAACTGAACTGATACTGGATGGAAACTTCAGGCTGGTTTAATAGATTCATGTTTTCAAACTTTCATTTGCAAGATTGATTTAAGGTAATACAATGCCAAGTGCCTTTCTTTACCAGCTCATGAATTTAATTGGGGTAACAGATCATCTTGGTTTTTGCAGGACTGAGAGGTCTTCAAACATTGGACTTTCGGGGCTAAAACATCTCAGGTAAACCGGAAGGAATAGGTCACACTGAATATAATGCTGAGGATGCATGTCATTTGTGTTCTTTTGAGGCTGTTAAAAATCCAGGTGAAAGCTTCATGAGGAGGCATCATTGTTGATGAATCTATTACTAATACGTTCTTAGGAGTGTTGAGTGAAGAAAAGCTGATTTCATCCATTCACCACCAGTGAGTTCCCATTATTTGCTGGTTCTGTTCTAAGCGTTAAAGAGCGGTACGGAAGTGAATAGAGCCTTTCTTCTAATGGAGTTTAAATTTGAGGGGAACATTCAACTAATAAATAAAAATATTCATTGGGAGATAATAAATGCTATGGAGAAAAATGAAGGCAGATAAGAGAGATGGGGCAGATATTCAAAGCTTTCATCTTGGTGTTTACAGGATCAATTGCTGGGTAGGCAGCTGCAAAGGCCAGTAGTTAAAGGGAAAGCAGGAAAATGTCGTGTATCAGCAGTGCTCAGTTGCAGGAAACAAAAACCACAGGAGCTATTTTAAGCAGAAAGGCATTGAATAGAGAGAAGCAGGTGTTTACAGCCTTGCTGGGAAGGCTGGAGGAGCAGCTTCAGGGTTGCTTCCACCTCTGCCACCACTGAGAAGGCCGGCAATCAGGCTGTTGCAGGGAGCAGGGACTCTAAGAACATGTTGCTTTTGCTGAAATCTGCTCATCAGAGTCCCTATCACCTCCACCTTAACTCTCTCTCAACACCATTACAGAGTGACTCGATATTGAGACAGTGCTGCAAAAACTTCCTACATCTCCATAAACTACCTGTACCTGTGGTTACAGCCAAATTGGTGGAAAGGTGGCTTCTGCCTCAATTCTGACTTCCAAATCTCTTGCAAGTGCCTATCATTGGTTGAAACTAATTCCAAGGTAGAAGCCCAACTGCAAGTAAGAGTGGGAAATATGATTCTGGATGCCCAACCTTTGCAGTGGAGAAGGGCACGTGAGAAGGAGGTGAGAATGGGGGCTGAGTGCTGTTTGGGGCATTTGTCATACCTTGAGAAAACCACTGTGTCAAGAATACCACAGGAAGTAAAAAGAAAACAAAAACAAACAAACAAACAAACAAAACCCAAGGTAAGAATATCCAGAAAGTGGCATCTTCATCCCAGACACCTCAGTGCATATAAGAAAGCAATATCGTGTAATGGTAAGAAGATAGTTTTCTGAAATCAGATCAGACTGTTTGATTCTCACTTACTTTCAGGGACTTTAAGCCAACCCCTTTATGTTTGAAAAGAAGTTTATATATAAAATAGGACTATTAACACCACCAAGATAATGCTATTAAAGTAGGAAACACATTGTAGTTACTTTGTTATATCAACCAAACAATCTGCATGTAAAATAGCTAAGAAGGGCACCATCTCCAGTTTATTAGTTAGAATACTGATCTCAAGCACGTGAGCCCAAACTCTATGAGCAAATCCTATGTTCCCCTACATCCCTAACTATCCTTCAATGAAAAAAAAAAAAAAGCCTAATTCTGTTATTGACTGGGCTTAAAAGGAACAGAGAATTGATTCTTTTCTAATAGAAACTGAAGTGATCCAAACCTGCTAATAGTTTTAAACAACATAGATTCAAACAGATTTTTTAAATGCCTTCTAAAACCACCAGATAGAACTGAATTAACATTTGGTGATTGAAGTGATTAATGTGCTTCCTTCTGGGCCAGCAAATACAGTTTCCATTGTATAATTTCTACCAGATTCACAGAATGCATGATATTTTGACTCAGCATGTTGAAATAAGGAATATTCCAACATAATTATGAAGCAGAAGACTAAACTTGTAAGCTTTTGTGCATTTTCAATATCTTCCTACCTTATTATAGGATCTTATCCTAGCTGATAGGCAGGATGAAGGGGTTTGTGTGGCAGGTGCATTATCAGAGCCTAAGTAAACATATACCAGGTGTAGGGCAAGATGGTTCCTTACTATGGCCTCTGTTTACATGAATTGATTAACATAAAAACAGGGGAGCCTCTTGGGAAAAGAGCTAGAAGAGTGTGTCAGAGGCGGATCCCAGTGAGAGACTCTAGCCTGAGGATGTGAGCAGATGGGGCCAATTAGATCCTGAAGGTGGAAGGAGCTGTTCATGGTACAGTGTTGAAACCATTGCTAACACCCATAAAAACATCTGCTCCCTTTGAGGGATTTGCATGCCTTGAGAGAATGGCTGAGGCTATGGAAAACTTCACCTTTTTAGGTGAAGGTTGCTTGGTAGCCTGAGCCCGGGTGTCAGATCAAGTAGAATGATGAGACTGTACCCTGGAGTG